TTAGGTCCTTACCTGTTTGCTTACCACCTTCTGCTAATGTAACTTAATCATTACATACTGCAATATCCCAGGTTTCTATTTCTAGTTCAGCGAGATTAAACTAGCAATAAGCAGCAGCATACTGTATCATCAGTGGGCTTTAGTGCTCCTGAGGGCAAGAGGATTAAATCAGAGATTAATTATGATCTGTGTATCATTTTTCTTTTCTGTACAATGGAGACACCATAGCTATGGTTGAGAGAGACAGCTAGGCTTCCACACAACAAAATTAAATTCCCATCTGTTAACTTTTTGTCAGTTATCTTTGCAGTATAGTTGCAAGATTGCTAAATAACCAAATTCATTTTAACTAACAAAAAAGTAATGATGGCAAAGATCTTCAATAGATGTACTGACAGACAGCAGACATCTTTCCCTAATCCAGACTTGGTAATCAGCAAAAAGATCTGAAAGACAGGAAAAAGATTAGTTTGGATACGAGGAGAGGATGGCAGGAACTTAATGATGACAGTTCAAGAACATTTCTTGGAACATTCACAAAAATGGAAATCAGCTGGAAATCCACCGTTTCTTCATCTACTCTACCAGAATAATGCTTAGGCAATGAATAAAGATCATCTCATGGTAAAATCATACATCATGGCATGCAAAGACCTCATCCTTGTGCTGTCACTGACTGTGCACTATTTCTACACTGTTGTGCCAAAGCTTAACCTGGAGAAAGTATAGAAGAAATCTACAGGCGCTGACAAGCTCACCCTTTTATGAAGGGCCAGCTCACTTCTCATGGCCTGTGTGCACACTTTACCTTACCTTAAAGGACTTTTAAAAATTTGTCTAACCAATCTGTTGCATGTTAAAAGCCCTAAAATCTCTTAACTACAGATGTCTTAGATAAACATCTTAAATTATCATTAAATAATAATTTTACATGGTGTGTTAAAATTATTTATCAGCAACAGAAAATATATTAATGTTCCCCTAGTCTCTACACTCCCTACACCTCCCTTGACACTGGTGGCACTCACCTAACCTTTCTTTGAGCCAACCCAGCCAAGGAAGCCAGGGCAGGGGACGAACACAGCAAAGGCACGTGGAGCACTGGCGAGGCATCGCTGTCGGTGACTGTGGAGGGGCTGGGCTGTGCCCTCAGCGCTGGGCACGGACACCCACTTCAGTAGCAACAGGGCAGCCCCATCCCATCCTGTGCTTCAGCAAAGACTGGCACACATCCCATCCTCTTTCCTGGCAGCAGTGACTAAACTTTGTGGTGACACTAGGACTTACTAGCCTGCTAAGGAAAAAAAAGCTACAAAGAACTCTTTTTATATAGGCCTGGCATGCACAACATCATGAGCAAGATACCTCACCATGTCAAGACTACGACAAAAAAAATCAAAGCACCTTTGACATGCATTTGCTCTGCTGCCTGCTTCAACAGAAGTGAACATGTACTGCCATCTACAGGGAGCTCCTCTCGTTACCTCATCAGCCATCAGCTCGCAGCACAACGCTCAATTACATGCAAGCACACGTTCCAACCTAGAGCCCCACTCCTGCTGACAATAGCTACTTTTCTTCCTCTCCTTGGCAGATTCTAGGATTTTTTTGGGGAACAATTCAGAGTTTCAGAAGACAATTCATTCCAATCGAGTCATCAAAATGTACTTACTTTTGCAGCATCATATGCCACATATCAGCATCACTGAAGTTACTGTGCTTCAAGGTCTCAGTTACATTATGGAGACTCATCAGTAAACATGTATCCAAAGTACTGTTTTTCTCTGATTTTATCTAGTGGGTATGATATGCTACATGTGCCTGTGCAGAAACTGTACTTTTCCTCACACATTAACTATTTAAAGCATAGACAATTTCTGCTTGTAAAGGAAACTCAAAACACGTTTTCTCTTATGTAAGAATCTTTTCCAAAAACCAGAATTATCTGAGAACAGTGTTAGAGAATACTATAGAATACCTCAGTATTATCGGTTTCATGATATGAAACATTCTCATGTATTTAACAACTCCTCCATTATTAGTAAATTGTAGTATTTTAAAATTGGCATGTTCAGAACATGTACTGTTTTAAAAGATAGTAATACATGAGTACTGGTCTAAAATACGTGAATAATATCATTAAATTATCCCTCTAAAATAAACATCTGAAAGCCATGCAAATTCTTAATCATAAAGAACAATCACTGTTTGCATTTAAAAACCACGAGACCACTACGAATGACTCCTGAAGAGGTCAAAGCATTCTTCTTGATTTCCAGAAGGACCCATTTCTAACTTCTAACTACTTAAATAATCATTTTGCAAGTTCAGAGAGAACAAGATCTTTTATTACATTCATATTCCACTTTATGTAGTCTGATTTTTAGATGTCAGCACAAAATGAGTCATCTGTGTTATTAACAATTCAAATGAACAATATATATTGAGAAAATTGATCGTCATTTATACAACTTCTAAAATGAATTTTAATACAGAAATCTGCTGCTTAGAATTTACGACACAAATGGAAACAGCACAAGAATGAAGTAAACAACATTATTTAAACAATTATCATAGACAAAAGTATTCTTAAGTCCTGTGATTGATAAGGCAGCCAGAACAAATTATTAACTTACTAAAACTGGATAAATATTACCATTATGACAACGGACACAAAACAATAATTACAAACTTCTATTAAACACTCAAATAACACCATTATAATGGAAGGAGGACAAAACCAATGGGCAATTTTGATGAATTCAGATACACTGACTTCTCAGTGACTGCTAGAAGCATACACTACAAAGCTGAATGAGGTTTTTATTAGCAAAGTGGTAATTCCTGGTCATATATTTGATTAAGCTGATTGATTAAGGTCTTGATGAGGCCTTTTAGTGTACAGTGGAATGTATCTTCTAAAACTGAAACATTTACTCTTTCAAGACAGCAAGTGTCTCTCACTAATACTAACATCCTTATCTCCTTGCCATGTGCATGGAGATAGTTAAGACACCGCATGGCAGTTAAAGCTCCTAAGCCTGCCATTGGTTTGGGTCATATTAACAGCAGAACAGCTGCTGCATTAAAAAAGTCATCCTAGTAGAACAAGCATGTAGACATCAAGTATAGGGTAAAGCTGTTAATTTAACAAACTAACTGGCAAAAACTATGCTTTCATTTTTAACAGACTTTTCAAGGTAACAGAAGTTAAAAGTTCGAGTATTTAGATCTCAAACCGCAGTTCACCTGGAATGCACAGCACAAAGCAGAATTTACTGCCCCGATCATACCAGCATAACTAGCAAACACAGCTTGCTCAACATGCAAACCCAAACAATTTTATACTGGTTCAATTCTGTACCATATTTATAATGAGGTTAAAGACAGATGTTAATCTTGAAATTAGGATAAGGGTTTGGCATTTTAGTTAAAATTATTTACTTGTTACATGACCTGATAGTCAAATTGGCTAGTAATGCTAGCGCTTATTTGTAATGAAATGTAACATAAAAATAGCAGCATTAAAAATGAATATTTTAATAGTATTTAAGATTTTATGAACAGGAAAAAAAAAAAAAAAAGAGTGAACAGTGCAAAAATGGCAATTGCAGTAATTGTAACTAATCATAAAAATCAATAGCACTTACTGTAATTACTCTAAGTATAGTAATTATTAAGAAGTAAACCCAGTAGTTGTTTTAACCTAAAAAAAGTTAGATAATTGTATTTGACAGTTAAAATTTCTCTCATTCTTAAATGTACTATAAACATGAACTTTCCTAAATAATACAAGTGTGCTTTATTGGCCTAATTAAAATCAAAGTCATGGGTGTATTCTGGATCTACTGCTAAATGTATGATCACAACCTTACATGGAAATGCTTGCAATGAGGCTATTTAAAGGGGAAGGAGGGGGGAACAAAATAGCTACCACCTGCACTCAAAGTATAGCTTAAGGTGATAGAAAGTTACGCATTCCCAGAAAGGGGTGGTCCCGCACACTTTTCTGACACCAGCACACTGCTGCTTGCTGCTGCTTCGTTTTTGTCACGCAGCTATGTCCAGCTAACTGATCTGAATAAAACAAAGACAAAAGATTAGTTTCTATTCAGATCTGCATGCTGATCCAACTCACCCCACAGCCATATGATTACCAGAGCTGAAGTAAGAGGGAAGAAAGAAAATTATGCCCAGGACACGGGGAAAAAGACAGGACAGGTAGCATCATCCAGCTGTGAAACCATAACCCAAAGCTTGCAAGAACTTAATACTGTAACAAGCCAAAAAGTAAGGGATCCACTTCTACCACCGTTTTCCACGCTCATGTAAAACTGAAGGAACTCTTCTGAAGATAATGACTTCATACCTATCAAAAAACACTGGGAAAAGAGAAGGGAGCTAATAACATTAACTACTAGAAGTATGGGGCATAAAACCCTGTATTTTTTTAGCACAAAACTGTACTTTAGCATTGTGAATTTTATTAGAAACAAATCTGTTTACTGACAGATTTAGTAAATGTTCCTTGCATTAAAAAATCATTGCCTTTCATGTGCTCACCTCAGGAAAGCATAACTACACTGAAGTTCATGCAGCTCTCAATTCTATAGAGCTACTGAGGAATAAATTTGCTTCAGATCAGTGTGAGTAACTCTGGAAGTAAAATGAAATGCAAGGTGAAACAAACCTATCTACTTTTTCATATATTACTCTGAAATTAGCTAATTTTTTGTTTATTCTGTATGTACATGTATGTAACAAAAGAGGTGAAGGTTCCCTACAACTTTCATGCTTTAGCAATGTTATGTAGGTTATGCAGCAGAAATTGCAAGAAGAAAAAAGAGCACAGAAGGGCTTCAACAGCTTTCAACCAGCACCTTTTCCAATTTTCTAACTGGACACAAATACACACTTCATACTAGTCAGTTATAACCAGAGAAAACAAGGAAGACCAGAGTCTGTTTGTGCATTACTTGTCCATCATGTTGAGAATCATTTCACAAGTCATTTGTTTCCTGTTCTCTTGGAACTACTGTTTCTATTCTGTCTACAACAGGAACAATCTCACTGGTACAATGTTCATGTTTCACAGTGGAGAAATCCTGGGACAATTCCACGTCAACTTTGGGAAAAAAAAAATAAAAATTGTGATGATTAACCAGAAAAACAAATATTTCAACTAATTTATCAAACAGGCAATTTAGTTTAGTGGACAAAATACTGCCAGTATATAACAACAGTGTATCTTTTATCTTACAGTTTATTTGGAGAATTAATATATTTTATGTTGAATATTAACATTCCAAGCCATGTTAGTGAGTAGTACCCACAGTATTCTTATCAGAGAAAAACTAAGCATTATTTAAATGGAAATTTAATTCTCATAAAGATTCATTCTCTTTTTTAATTATTAGTAACAGCAAATCATTGACAGCACCAGTCACACAAATCTTTTGTAAAGCCACATACAGAACAGCCCAGGCCCCTGCACTGTTGTGCAAGAAGTGAACAGTGATACATGTACTCACAAATGACAACTTTGAGAAAAAACCTTCTGGAACCATCATAGAAACTTCTAATATTTGTGTGAGTCAATAAATAGACTGAGTATTTTCATGAACAACATTATCTTAGCTCTAGAAAATCAAGCTTTCAGATGAAGGTATCTGCAAGATACCGAGAAACTGTTTGCACGTAGAAAAACATTAATAAACTGCAAAATCTAATTATTGCAAAAACATAAACACTGCAGCTGTAACATTTCTTTCTAACCATACCATTACAGCCTCACCAGTGAAAATAGAAGTGTCAATGCTAATGTAAACTCAGCTGCTAATATATATTCATTAGATTCAGAAAAGCTCTATTTCTTCTTCTCACTATGTCAAATTTTATTTCAGTGTCACTGGCCAGAAATCAGTGTAGATATAATCTGATATACCAAAATGTAAGGTTTTAAGACACCTAGACCGTAGATATATCTCCATTCTTGTCTCTTATGCCAAAAAAATCACCTGAAGAATCCTATCAAGGAGACTACTATGGCTTTCAAACAGCATCTGGGAAGCAGAGGGGCAAAACATGACAGGATATTCTGGTCAAGATATTTTTTTGGCCCTGGTGGCAACCTCAAAAACATATGACCAGCTCTCACCCTGCAACAGTGCAGAAATTCAGCATTAGATCGAGCAGACAAAGGGAAGGCAAGATGCACGAGGATACAGGGCTCCTGCCCATGGACTGACCCGAATATTGTATATTGTGCTTTGTCTAATTCAGCAGAAATGCATGCACATCAATGAAATTATAAGCAGACACCTCCTCTGGGTGAAACAGACTGTAAGGTGAAATTGCTAGAATATTACTATGCATGTGGTGACAGGCTAAAATTTGAAAGAATAAAAAAAATTACTTCATATGTTTTTGAAGTTGCAAACAAGATTAAACATAAATGATTGTATCGGGAGTGTACTAGTGTAACCCAGACAGAAAAGGCACTTCACTTACTACTGTGTAGTTCTTGCTGACAGGACATCAACTGACCAATTAGTCTATCGTTTCAGCATGCCACAACCTGAACTTACTCACTTTCTGGGAATCTTAACCTCAGAGAAAAGATGAGGGAGCAGAAGAAAGAGATGGAAAGATATAAACTATGGGCCATCTTTTGGTTTATACTGAAGTTTACAAAATAAATGCTCAGTGCTCAAGAGCTATCCACAATGAGCAACACTAAGTAATTACAAGTGAGTTTGTGATTACACAGACATGGTGGACCGAGAGCTCTATAAACCAGCCTGATGACCTCTGCAGTACAACAGAAGAATGACTCCAGCTACTTAAATCAGTAGCATTTTTATTATTATTTGATCACTATCTGCTCTGAGAGAAAGAAGATGAACAATTTCTTTATGAAGATATGCTAGATCTTCTGTGATTAACATGCAATCTGAGTTCTGAAATTGAAATTTTCCATCCAGTCTACGTTAAAGTAGTATATTATAAATCATGAGCTCTTAAGAAAACTCACTATGGCTGAACACAGTAATGATGTGTTTCGACTTCCTTTATAAAGGCAAAGGAAATTTGTGAAAGGGAAAAGACAAACACATTTGCAAGCACTGCTAAGCACAGAGTTTAGGAATAGGTCTACAGGAGCAGGGGAACAGAAGTCCCAGAATGGGTACCTGAGTAATGACCCAACTCAGATGACAAGGATTTCAGACACACAGTAAAGACTATCCTGAAGTATTCTTCCATTATTAGCACTTAAATTAGCTTCATTGTGAAACAGTAATTAAACAGCAGGGGAGATTCACTGCCTTAGCCTTTTATTCTTGATTCTAATTTACATGATTAAATTCTAACTTATTCGCTGATTACCTTCTTGCTCAACACGCTTTGGGTTCTCACGGGTTTTATTTTTGCCCTTGCTTCTTTTTCTGGGTGTAGCAGTTTTTGCCCTCACCGATCCACAACTTTCTGCATGCTTATGCATATTATTCTGTTAGCATAATGAAGCATAAATATATGAATCAAATATTAATGTATGTAAGCAATTTAACACACACACAAAAAACAAATATGGTTCTGACTGACAAATTTTGGAACGCTAAGTAAAAGGCTGACTTAGTTAACAACCTCCATAAAACTCCTGAAGATTTTCCAGAATACATATTAAAATTCTGCTTTAAAGGAACATTGCCATTTGGTGGGTATAAAATCAGATTTATCATTTTCTGGTTCCTGAATAAGCAATAAAGTTTTACATGTAAAATCTGTATGTGGAAAAAAGGTTACATTTACTTTAGAAGTGTGCATAGTTAACCCAAAATGAGAGATATGTTCTCACTGCATCTGGTTTTGAAGAAGTGAATAATAATTTCTTACTTTCCTTGCTGAACTGGTCCTAGCACTCTTTCACTTCAATTATCTTTCCAAGTTCTTTAATTTGTCTTAAAATTCACACCTCCACACTGCCTTTTTATTTGTTTTAAGATGATTACTGTATTAAACATTAGTAACTTCAATACTGGATTGTACAAACCAACCCTGAAAATATGATGTGGCAGATTATTTTCTACCTAAACAGTAATACTATAAAGTTCTTTATTAATCCCCCAATGTGAGGTTTGGGAGAGAAAACAAACAAGTTGTGCTGGCTTAGCATTAAGGAGTTAACATTCCAGCCAGTATACTAGTTTTTACTCTCAGTCCTTTGTGACAATACAATCTGCAACACTTAGCTAAAGATAACTTCACTGAGATTCCTTAAAAGGAAATATCTTACCCAGAGTGAATAGCCCTTACCACATTTAGGGCATTCATAAACTGCAGGCTTAATATTGGAATCATGGTGCTTCCTAAAGTGAAGACTGAGAAGCTGCTCACGTTGAAAGCTTTTCCTGAAGCACAAGCAAGTGAAGGGTTTCTCACCTGTATGGGTTCGTTTATGTACAACTAAGCGTTATTCCTGAAACAAATGAAACATCTATAATGAAACTATCCAGCTCTGCGTTCAAAAAAAAATCACAGGCACACAGAAAAGCGCAAGGATGTTGCACAGACTCCTTAATTATCCTCCACTGTAAGCAGATGCCGCAGAACACATTGGGATACTGCCCACTGACTCGGAGAAGGTCAGAGGTTTTCCTCCTAACTTTACCAAGGTTAGCAGAGAAAATAATCAGAATGGAGCAGTGGTGTATTCCAACATATTGAGGCCAAAGCAATGCTATCCTAAATGTATTCTTCAAAATAAAATTTTCAGTTCAGACTGAATTTATTCTGTGACACTGCTGAAAATCACATTCAGGTGCAAATATTATATTTTGTTCTCATCACAATGTCACTGGAAGTGATTGCTCTTACTTTATACTTCTAAGCAGTTCACATACAAAAGATTTATCAAGAAGATAGCTTCAGACTTTCCAGGATTTCAATTTTACTGTTTATTTGTGAACCATTTATCTTGCAAATAAATATAACTACATTGTTTTAGTTAGATTGCAGTCATGAAAGTTTTTATCTTAAGGTAAATATAACTGCAAAGCCAACCCTACCTTGCCAAGCTATCAATTGAATAAGCAAGTATTTTTCAGTTAATTTAAATACCTGCATACATGCATAGCTGCACTGATCACATCTGAATCTTTTTTCATTTCTATGAGTCTTTTTGTGCTGAATAAAAGCATAGCGCTCATGAAAAACAGCTTCACAGTAACTGCATTTAATTGCCACTGCCATGCAGGAATGCAGATTTCTCAAGTGGATACCTGAACGGTTATTAAAAGCAATTAATTTTAATGGTTACTTTTTGATTTCCACAATTCTGAACAAGAGTTAAGACTGTGCGTAACCCTGAGTAATGCACACACTGTAGAGGAAAACACAAAAAAGAACCTTCTGTGCTCTCTGCAATAGGGGTAAAATCACCAAATAGGCAATTTTTCAAATTAGTTTAAGATAACTAAAGTTGCAGCAAGATGTTGTAACTTTCCAGAGAAATTAAGCAGTTATAAGCCTAAATCTTACTGACTTCAATGGAAATCATTTAACAGACCAAAACCTTTAAAAAACTGGTAACTGCCTGCTTTTGTCTATACACAAAAACTCATTTGAAAATGCAATCCAAGGTAGTATTTACCATATTAAAATGTAAAGTGCAAAAATACATGAATGAAGAAATTGTATATATGTAAGTAACAATTCCACTTCTACATTCAAATACTTAATAGACTTCAATGGGATCCTTATTTTAAATATAAATAGATGCGAAAGGCATCTTTGTATGTCTAAATAACTTTTAAATATAGCTTTTTAAGACATTTCTGGAAAGTTAAAATTTTATATAGGTTTTTTTTGGTATCAGTCAGCTATACTGCCCCAAATACAGTAAATATGCTGTATTTCTAATACACTGAATTACTAATAAAACTCTCATCTGTACAAAACCATTTTCTTGAAAAGAAGATTAATTTACATGTGAAATGCTAGGGACAACTTTACTGGTACTTGAAGCAAGTACTGTTCCAAACAAGAGTGGTTAAATTTAGTATGTAACATTCCCAGAAAATCACAATGGCTTGTATTTCAAGAACTGTGGTTTGTAGAAGGAAAAATTTTAATTTATATTTTCAGTTACAATTATAAATTTTTATTTTCAGTATCAACCTGTATTGTATATCAGTACTGTTTGATTCTGATGGCAAAGCCAAAAATTCCATTATCTGCATAAAGAATGAACTTATGCAGTGGTCTGTTCTTTGCATTCTGGGAAAAGACCCTAAGTAGCTGAGAGACATTTGAGTTTACTGTATCACCTTCAACGTTTCATAAGTGTTATATAGCCAAAAAATAATCTTTGATATTGATGTAACAGAATTTAGAATTCTAGGAGTTTTGAATGCTTGAAGCTTAGTAAAAAGCATTGTCTGATGGACTGGTGAAGTCAAAAGTTAGCTTGTGCTTTACTAACTAATGCAATTACATGCATTTTTTTAAATTACAAGGACAATGCACTCAGCAACTAAACCAAGGTACAATTCTAGATTAAGAGGTAAAAGCTGATTTGGTATATGCAAAAAAATCATATGTACTAAACATTTCAATCTATCTGAAGTTCTTGTATAGCTAGATGCATATACACATTTCAGCTAGAGCTGAGAAAGAAACAGAATGTGAGAACTGAAATGGCTTTATACAGATTTTCCCATTTTCTGTGGCTCTGAGGAAGAAAACTTTTCAGTACAACCTTGACATATATTTTTGTGAGGTACCTTCTTACTGAAAAACAGAAGGTCGCTATGCCACCGGTATTCAACCAAAAAAAAGGGCTACTTTGCATTTTAAACAAATTAAAACATCAACCACAAGATGTCACCACATCTCCTTGCAGGAGGAACTTACCTGTAAAACAATATTTCCCATAGAAAAATTCTGCAATGGTATAAAGTCATATATATTTTGTATCATTGTAAACAGTGAAAATTAGAGACTTCACCTCTAATTATCTCTACAGGAAAAAACTGAAAACTAAATATAAACTCACGCAAGTCACTTTTTTGTGCAATAAAGACACTACAAGGTGGACACTGGTATTTTGGCACATTTTCTCCATGCTTCTGTAACATATGGATTTTCACAGTACCACTTTGAGTGAATTTGGCCTGGCAAACCCAACATTCATGGGTTTTTCACCTATAAAAAACCATATTAAATACCATATACTTAGAAACTCTACTTATCTGATACAAATTCAAAATTCCTAAAGATCTCAATACCCATGTTCTAAGAGCAGCAGTCTTCGGACCAACCAAAATGTTACTATTAGTTGACAATGCACAAAAGGGCAAGTAAGTTCACGTAAGTTCACACAGCTGATTACAATGCAAAAAATTAGCTTCCAGAATCTGCAAACTGATGAAGCATAAAGCCATTAATATTATTCTAAACTACTAATAATGATTTTTAATTAACTTCTACTCTCTCTTGAGTATTTAATGTACAGAAATGCAGAATTATCCTCAAATGTGCCAGGAGAGAAAGTTTAACAGCTGTAACAACATCATGGTTAAAGCGATTCAACACCAGCCATTGATAAGGGTGGAAGAGAAAGCCGTAAGTTATTTTCTTGCCATTCTTCCCCAAGAAGTCACATCAAGTGTGAATATCATCAAAAATTACAACACTGCCAATTGACACAGTCTACTAAGAGAGGAACAGCTAGAGCTGAGGCCCCAAAACAGATTTTGAACCAACTTCAGACTGGTTCTGTGGACTAAGTCCTTACTAGTCTGGAAAACTCTTGGACTTTTCTGTTTGGACTCTTCTGTTGGTTCTCTTTTAAAAAGAACTCGGTTTACTTGCACCAAACTGCCTCAAGATATAAGCCAAAGCATGGTAAGTGGGGATATCTGGAAGACTTGATTCAAACCACACTCTCACTTCAAACTAAACCACTAATCATAACATACATCACATACCGTAATTATGCTAAGTAAAACCCTGAAGTATATGATAGATACTAACTGCCTTCTCAGAAGGCATGCACATTACAGAGCCATGATCAGAATGTGTTGCTTTCATTGTCAAAACAATTTAATTCTTTGCTGACCAAATTTGTTACTCATAATTTGGGGCCACAACAATGTCTATATTTCGAACAGACATTTTAAACTCTCAGATATATCTCACATATATCTCCACATAAATTTATCTAATTGAGAAATATAAGTGCCAACTATATCCACAGAAAACAAGACAACACAAATGAAGTATTTTTCTAGTATAATAAAAGTTTAGGAAGCATAGCTAGACTTCCAACAGCCGTATCCAGAAAAGTGAAAGGGAACACTTTTTCAAGCACGTTTTTACTCAAAATCACAAATGAAATTAGTTCACTCTAACTCTATGAACGTTAAGGGCCTAACGACATAGACTTGATCGTTACAGAAGAGTCCTACTTGAATGAGTTACCATGTGCCTTTTCAGTTTATATGCATCTTTGCTAGCGTAACTGCAAAGGCCACAGGCATAAGGACGCTCGCCTGTGTGTGAGTGAGTATGGCGTTTCATTTTGCTTGCCTAGTATAATAATAAGAATTTTTTCTGCAGTAACATTTACATTAGGGACATAATCAATTAAAATAAAAGAAATTTTACAAAATACATCTACTACAATTTTTAATAGTTCATCAGTCCCAGAATTAGTGCTCTCCCACCCCGCCTCTTTTTTCTTGTACAATGAGCCCACTGTGGGTTTAGGTAACGTTTCTGCACTCTTTTCCCAGATGATCTTACTTCCATGTTTAGTGTGAACATAAACAAAAGGAGACATTTTATAATAGGAACATAAAAACTAGAATTTTAAAATCAGCTGAAAGGGATACCTACCACCTTCAGGGTACTTTGATATGCCAAACATAAAATTCTTGGAAAATACTGAGGAAAATAAATGAAATATCAAACTCATTAGCCAAAGCCTTTAGTCACCTTCAAGTCTTCAAGTACTTTCATCGCAAAAGTTTCATTCTACTTTTTTTACTGTTCTTGTGATATGTTCACATAAATATTGTAGGTATGCAAACTAAAATTAGGAGTTACCTAATGATCAATTTATAAACATACTTAATGAATTCACTGGTAGATCCATTCAAACTTACATAAATAAACCTACACTTAAATAAAATTAAACATTCTAACCAATCTTTGCTATACAAAAGTAAAATCATATGCATGGTATTACTAGGGAGAGCTCCTTCAGCTCTTCTCATTCAGGTAGAGGTTACAGTAATATTTGTGAGAGCTCTGCAACAGCAGTGAGTACTGAATACTTCCTTATCAAACCAATGGAAAGAATAGGATACTTTAATATAAACTGACAAGGTTTTTAAAGATGCAAGCTATCCAAAATCTAATTAATAAGATAAGGTGCGTGGAATAAAGTTCAGGCTTGCTTACAGCTTTAGATACGGACACAGCACATAAAAAATTTAGATACTGAATATCCACTAAACTGTGACAGTGATTTAATCACAGGTACATGACTGAAAGCCTATTTTTTCCAAGTGAACCCTTAGGCAGCCTCTAACTTTTTTATTTCTAGATTAAGAAAATTTCAATCCTGTAAAAAAACCCAAACATCATCAAGTGTATAAACACAATACATGAGCTTCATTGTAGACATTAGCCAGTCTTGTCCTGCAGGATATGGAATGAAGAATAAAGAAGGACCAAGTATGCTTTTGCAGGATCAAATTCACACAAATGTATGCCTAGCAGCAAGTCTAGTATAATAAAAAAAACCCCACCCTTAAAATGTAACTAGTTTTAAAAATCAAAATAATTGTACAAATACTAATTTGAAGCAACTCATTTATAAATATTACTGCATGGACAAAGTAAGGATTCAGGGATTTCAGATTACTTGTTCCTTTTCTGAGGGGTGATGGGGATGAGAAGATGCGCATACAAATAAAATGCATGTCACTACAAAGCTTTAGTAATCAGCTATCTTGCAGCAGTACTGCAGTCACACAGCAGAGCAGTTCAACCCATCAGAGTGGTCCAAGGCCATTATCATTCGAGGCCACTGATTCCTGGGATGCAGCAGATCTCCTGACCTTTACGGTCTCTGCAGTCCTCTTTCACAGTACTGAAGCATTACAACAACCATGTCTTTGGCCATCCCTCCCAATTCAGAATGCATATATACACTCATATCACAAGCCAAGTATTAATACCATAGCGTGACATCTGCAACTACCTCTATAATGTATTAAGTTGACCTCCTATAGAAATCTGACAATAATCAAGGATGATAGAGTCAGCACAATATATACACAGGCAGGTCCCAATTTAGTAGAAACTTCTCAAGGTTAAAAATCTGCGCAAAAATGTTGTAACTTGATAGTGCATTAAAATCTTAGTATGTGAAAGCTTACAAACCCTCCCAAAAGATTCAGTAAGGCTGTACTTACTTCTACACAAGAATATTTACACAATGAACACTTGAAAGGTTTTTCGAAAGTATGCTTGTAATGCCTATGTCGTGAAAGCTCACCACTGGTCACAAATACCATATCACAGTCACTGCATTTATAGGGTCTGGTCCCTGTAAGAATACACCGTTTCTTAGAATTTTATTTAACACCACAGTAGTATGATTTGTCTGCCTTAAATCAACATGCATAATTTTTTAATAGAACCTCTTCTACGATTCTGAATTTTTATATCAAATAAAGGTACACTAGGTTTATTATAAACACAATTTATCAATTTTCTTCATATGATTATATATCAAAACTAACACATCACAAAAAATTCTATTATGCACACAGGAATCAGACACAACTTAAGTCAAAATTCAGTTGACAAAAATTTTTAGAATGGTATTTAACAAAATAAATGAATACATACACAGAGAGTTACTAACTACAAACTATGTCTTTTTAGAATGGAACACCAAACAAAATCAGAGAAACTTCTGAGCACAAAATGATCACAGAATACAGCTTTAAGACAAAGTAAATTGCCTGTAAATTTAACTTTGCAGACAATAGGTGAAATGAAGTATTTTCAGACATTAGATACCTGTATGTACATTCACATGGTTATGCAGGAGAGCAGCTGTACGAAAAACCTTAAGGCAGAGGTGACACACATGACGTTTCTCATCAGAATGAGTTTTCAGATGATGCTTAAGATTTGATATGCTGAGTGTGGTGAACGTGCACAAATCACAGCTTAAAACTGCTTTTTCTCCTGGGGGAACAAAAACATATTTAGATCGTGCAAGCCACAAAATAATGACTCCTTTTTAAAAAAATAGTACCAATTCCAGTATAGTTCCTCTACTTTTGGTAAAACTACTTCATACTTCTAAATAAAAGAACTTGAAAATATATTACAAATAAACAAGCTGTCAGAAATTATTGTATCTATTTAAGACTTCAGTGATTTGCCCAAAAAATAGTGCCATGTGTTAGACATACAGTTTAGAACCTCATCCCAGGAAACCTAACTCCTAGCCTAGCTCTCACCTCCAAGACAGGATGAAACTTTGTCTCTTGCTAACATCATTAAGACATGGTTTATCAAGGCACTTACAACCTGTGCAACACGTATCTTGATGACAACTGTATAATTAGTACTCAGTAAGCTTGTTCGAAGATTTGAACACGGCAGGTTAAGCTATTCTCAGCTTTCCAGTAGTGCTGAATCCATAAAGTTTATGTAAAAAACATCATGATGTAAAATCCTCTTTAAAATTGTTAGTTGAATATAAGGAAAAAAAGATCAATTCCTTGAAGAAATCACAGGATAAAGTTATGCTTTTTGGATTACATAACATTTCCAAGTTCATGGCACAGCAGTAATGAATTTCTTTTGAGCTTAACAAGTTAAGAGTATATGTGCAACACTTTCAGTTTTGAAGAAGATTTGAAACTGTGAAATGGCAAATACGTCATATTTGAAGAGCCTTTCCAGAACAGTTGTCTCAGCTCCCAAGTGCACTCTCTGTAATGATTTTCATGCTGAGACCAAAATGTATTTTATACAATGCTTTATACCACACAGAGATGTGCAGCTAACACTTCAATAACAGCAAACAAAAACACTTTATTATTTATTCATTGTGGATTCATGCCCACACAAAAGAACATTGTTAGCTTTGTTAAAGCTGCTCAAATGTGCTTCCTATAAACGCAGTAACTAAAACAAGGACATTAACTATTTGTAAAATAGCCATACTTTAAACAACTTCAGCCAAGATACCTCAATATCCAGATACTATGAAACACACATTTACAGACTCTTCAACATTACTGATGTCATACAAATTTTACAGTATACAGTTTCTAGGGAAACAGTTCCTTATACATTCCCTTCTAAATCAATACTTCTCCAACATACTTTTACGTTTTTAAAATCTTACATCAGTCATTTTCTGTAACTTAGATATTGGGAGATAACTTGCTGACAGGCATTGATGCTTGCCCACTACCTTCAGCCAGCAACCTGGTATCACCCTAAGCTTATCCATAAACCCCTGAACAAGCATGTTTCGAAGCTGAATGAGGGAACTAAAAGACCAAGTAAATTACTAGGTTTATTCAAAGGCATTTTATACAGTATTCACTTTGAAATCTCCCTGGAGGTTTCAAATACCACATACTGTTCAAAATACGATTAATTTCTAAATGCCATCCAAAATGTCTCTCCTGAACACAACACAGATGACATCAGCCAGAACAAGTATCTTTTATCACTTATGGGTGAAGGATATTATTCCTTCTTCCAAATTTCCACAGAATGTTAGATTGAACCAAATCTAAACTTAATTAACACTGTGAATATTTAATATAAAATTTCAACCTCACTTCAAAATCTAACTTAACATATGTTATCTAAAAATGAACTACAGTTTATTAACTTTTTACCTTTTTTCTGATGTGGAGCACAAATCTGAAATTTTAGATTCTTGGGATTTCTTGCAACTGTTTGTTCTGAAGGGCTTGCATATTCCTGCACTTTGCCTTCACTGCATGAGTCTGACAAATCATCACTGGCTTTGCAGCTCTGGCTCTTTGTTTCCCCCCGAGTGAAAAGAACTTCCTTTCCTCCCTCCTCTTCAGATGGGGTCAGATGCTGGACCCGATTTTCAAACACGTCATTATCCCTGTAAATCTATTTAAAAAATAAAACATTTTACAACTTCCTTAATCAAAGGTAGTAGCTAGTGGCAAAACAACTGATCTATCAACAAAATACAAGTTGCTAATTCATTTTGATTTTTCAGCCTTAAAAGTGATGGGCAAAACTGCAACAAAAATTTTGCATTTAACACACAACATCCTAACTGGGAAGTGAACAGTTACTAAAACTGAGCCCTAATTCTTAAACATTTTATATAAAATTTTAGAGTATCATTTTAAGATTACAGCACTGAGAACACAGAAACTTATATCTTCATTTTTAAAAAATTGAATTTCAGTACATTTACCTTTTAAAAGAAAAGGACAAGAAAGTATGCTCTGTTTTTTACTAAACTAATATGGAACTTTTGCAGCCTAATTGTAATGCTTTCTTTGTTATGTGTCAATTAACAAGACTGAGATACCTTTTGCATTAGATAAATATGACAATACCTCAGAAATTATCTAGGGTGACAAGAGTTTTAAAAGAAAAATTATTATAAAACCAGCAGGATAAATACCAACGTTTGCATGTCCTTTTAATAAAATGCATTTCAAATGAGACCATATTACAAATGCATCTTTAACAACAAGGACTACAGTATTGTACTAATTCAGGAGAAGGGAAATTGTCTCAAGCTACTTCAGAGATTTAGGCTGTCAAACCAAACAGCACCAAACTGGTGAGCTGAATTTAAAAACTTGTCTGAATTTCAACAGGTTGGTCATCCTCAAAGGCTAAATTTTTGTCTTTTTAAACATGGGATGACATTATAAAAAAAATGTACAAAGGATTAGATGCTTAAGTCCAACAAATTTGAATGCCTAGGAAAAGTAGTATTAAAGTCATAACCGAATCAGTGTGGTAGTACAAGCTAACAGCTAATGTATCACCATATTCACCACATCCAGAACTTGTACCTCAATCAGTAGCATGTCTGGCGGTTTCTCTGTTGGCTTGCTTTCTGAACTCTCTGCTTGCCCTTTTTCTTGCAAAACGTTAATCTGCATCAGCCATAAATCATAAAAACCACAGATAGCCTCCCGCACCCTTAGCGCCGCGCCTGCCGGCACACCCTGACCCTGCTGCTCCACCGGCTGCAGCACAACCGCCCCGGCCACGGCCACCCCCCTCTGCGGGAGGGCAGTTATCTGGCAGACTCCCCCCAAATCCTCTTCCCCTGCCGTCAGACACACAAGTCTGTAGTACCAGCAAGTGTTTTTCGCTCTCTTCAGGAGACAGGCACCGCTCTGGGGGGAGACATGCCGCCGTCCGCACGTCGAGTCCCGCACAATTGTCACTGGCACTGCTCCTCTCCTCCGCTCGGGTCATCCTGTCCCCGTCACACTCTTCTGTCCCCGCTTTTTTCTGCACCCCCGATTTAGACGAAAGGCTCGAGCAGCTCTAAGGCCCCGTACGCCGCTGAGTGAACCTGTTCAAAAGGCGAGGTTTAAAACAAGGCCAAGCCCCAGGCGTGCAGGCCCTGCCTCGCACTCCAGCCCCTGCCCCACGTCGCTGTCCTGCCCGCCCGCCGCCTCACGCCCCCCTGCCCGCAGCCGCACTCCCAGCGCCGCTCCACTGGATCTGGCAGGGACATTATTACTAGATCTGTGGTTTGGGTGTCTGAGATAGCAGGTGCTATACGGCACCATTGGAAAGCCCAGTGATTCTGATTACTGCAACGGATGTAGCCATGAAAAGTACATTGGCAGGGCCGCTGTAACAAGTTGTAAGAATGAAAAATTAAAACCTTCTCATCTCGAAAAACAATCTCATGACAAGCCTGATTTTAGGTCATTGACCTTACTGGGCCTTATCCTTAGAGACAGCAAGTTCCTGTAACTCCCATAAATACCCTTGACAACAACAACTCCTATCCACAAATCTGCAGAATCCTAAACGCAAAATTAATACAATTTTTTTACATTCAATAACTGCAAATTAGTCATAGCTATTATGTTACTTGGAATCAACACAAATTCAGAGCAATTATTTAAGGTTGAATATGTATTCCAGCAATTTAGGGCTGATATTTTAGTTAGATACCGCATTATTCATCACCTACAGAATCTGTGGGCTCTCGAAACCAAAGAGCAGGATGCAGAATACACAACATATTCATATAATTATGCTGCTGGTGACTGTAGCCAGAGATTATACTTCTTACACATTTCTGAATCTTTTCAAGTTGCTATGTATACTATGCAATTATGATAGTTGAAAGGCACTGAGGAAAAAAGTTGTTATAATAATATATCCTCCTTTAGGTCATTTTAATGAGTTTTTCTGCACTTGAACAGTCATCAGCATCCAAGAGCTGTCCTGCCTTGTACTTCTGCATTATTAATACCAGCACCATCCATGCAGCTACAGTTAAACATCTGTCACTATTTCCATTATAAACTGATATTTTCAAGGATTTATAACTCAAATGCAGAATAGCCCTCCAGTTAATTTTTGATGAATTTAAAGGAATCACTTGGATGAGCAGTCTACAAACTCAACCACTTTCTAATTATGTTTTGACACAATAGAGGTTAACAGCTCCATAATGGCTGTTTATTGTGTACACAATGTCCAGTTACCAGTACTACCTACAGCATCAGCTA